TTCCAGACCTTACAACTGGACGACTCACATCTTTCTCCGTATGTGGGGTCGGATCTACAAGGCTTCAACGGCTCGACCTCCAAACCTTGGGGTTATGTCGAGCTCCTGGTTACGTTCGGCGAAGGAACGGCTACGAGACATGTTAAGGTCCGCTTCCTCGTCATTGACTGCCCGTCTCTATACAACTGCATCTTGGGGAGACCGACTCTGGCGGAGCTGACGGCGGTGCCCTCGACCGTCCATCTGAAGATGAAGTTCTACACCAAAAGGGCACGGGTAGCCACCATCCAAGGAGACCTAGCCGCTGCCCGTAGGTGCTTCAATGCTGCTTCTAAGGGACGAGATACCGTCGACGTAGGGACCAGACCCGCCAAAAGGACAAAACAGGAGCCCGACAGGAAAGCATCCCCCGAGGAAGAAGTCCAGAAGGCCCCACCAAAGGTCGACTCCATAGCCCTCGACGCTCGCTTCGATCAGGACGAGCCATCCAGCAGCGAGCAAATTCCACTCCGACCAATTCCGGACGGGAATTTTGAACTCGTTCCCCTCGGCGCAGACCCGACCAAGGGAGTGAAGATTGGTAAAGACCTCTCCGACTTGGCCAGGAAGCAAATCAAGGCCTGTCTGCGCGAGAATGCTGATCTCTTCGCCTGGAGTGCTGCTGAGATGCCCGGACTCGACCCTGAGGTCGCCTGTCACCACCTCGCCATTGATCCAGCCGCCAAGGCCGCAGTACAACGTAGGCGTAGGCAGTCTCCAGAAAAAACGGAGGCTGCTGAAAAAGCTGTAAAAGACCTCCTAGAGGCAAATTTTATTTCTGAAGCCCGGTATTCCACCTGGCTGTCAAATGTTGTACTTGTGAAAAAGAATAATGGAAAATGGAGAATGTGTGTTGACTATACCGATCTCAACCGGGCTTGCCCGAAGGATGCTTTTCCCTTACCTAACATAGACATGCTGGTCGACAACTCGGCCGGCTACAAGACTTTGTCATTCATGGACGCCTACTCGGGATATAACCAAATCCCAATGGCTCTGGGCGACAAACACTGCACGACATTTATGACCAGCTCGGGTAACTATTACTACAACGTAATGCCCTTCGGACTGAAAAACGCCGGAGCAACTTACCAAAGTATGATGAACAGAGTTTTCAACAAACAGATCGGCGACATGCTCGAGGTATATATGGACGACATGATCGTCAAATCCCGAGCAGACACCGATCACGCAGCTCATCTCAAGACAGTCTTCGCCCAAGCAAGACAGTGCAAAATGAGGTTCAACCCCGAGAAATGCACGTTCGGGGTTAAGGCAGGAAAATTCCTTGGATTCTATCTAACAGAACGAGGGATTGAAGCCAACCCCGACAAATGTCGGGCATTCTCCGACCTCCCAACACCGACGTCGAAGAAGTCGATACAAATCATGAACGGCATGCTTACGTCACTATCCCGATTCTCGCGAAGTCCGCTCAGCACGCCCTCCCATTCTTCAAACTCCTTCGAAAGGAAGCAGCCTTCGAATGGAACGAGGAATGCGAGCACGCACTTCGCCATCTGAAGCAGAGCCTGTCTCAGCCGCCCGTGCTGTCTCAACCAGACGACGGGGAACCGTTGTACTTATACTTGGCCGTTTCGAACGAAGCCATCAGCGCGGCCCTTGTCCGCGAGACCCCGACGGGCAGAAACCTGTCTACTTCACAAGCAAAGCCTTACAAGGGCCCGAAAGCAGATATCAGCAGATCGAAAAGGTTGCTCTGGCCCTCGTCAACGCTGCGAGGAGGCTCAGACACTACTTTCTAGCCCACACCATCGTCGTGCGAACCGATCAGCCGGTGAGGCAACTCCTGGGTCGGCCAGATATGGCGGGCAGGATGCTGAAGTGGTCCTTGGAACTCTCTGAATTCGACATTCAATACGAAAGCAGGAAAGTCCTGAAAGCACAGGCCTTGGCCGACTTTGTCGCGGAGATGACCACTCACGACCTTCCCCCTGGGAAGGAACACAAGTGGACCATCTTCGTCGACGGAGCATCCAGCTCGTCCGGTAGCGGCGCAGGAATCCTCCTGAAAAACGAAGAAGGCGTAGTAATCGAGCACTCCTTAGTTCTCTCCTTCCCGACGTCAAACAACCAGGCAGAATACGAAGCCCTGCTCGCAGGACTGAGACTAGCCGAGGACCTGGGAGCCCGCGAGGTACAAATTTACACCGACTCCCAGCTCGTCGCCTCTCAAGTACAGGGAAGCTCGTCGCCTCTCGTGTGAATATGTTGTACAATCATTCTAACTATAGTGTGAACTCTTACATGTTGTAAGGGGACTGGATGTACCTTCAGACTATGAAGGGAACCCGGATAAAATCTCTTATGTACATTTATTTTTCTGCACTTAACTAATTTCATAAACTCACTGTAAACCAGAAAAATAAGTCAAGTATCACTAAGAACCGATAAAAAATTTATCTACCTAATTCACCCCTCCTCTCTTAGGCGCATTTCATACTTACAAAGTTTTCTTTCTAACTCTGATACTCTTTATCTTTATAATATAATCTTATAAAATTGTTTCACCAAAATACATAGTTTTATCATGGAAAATTGTTAGAAGAAGATTTGGACTATAAAATAAATATTTAGTACAAAGGTAATTATTTAACTTTTAATTTAATTATTTAATCTTTAACTTAACAATTTAAATTTAAATGTAAAGTTATTAATGAATTAATAAATATTAAATTAGTTAAATTATTAAATTGAAACTAAAATTATTAGAGAAAAATTTATACGGAATAAAATATTTTTAAAAAAAATTAAATAAATTTAAATGAAAATTTTATGGACTAAAATTTAAAATAAATTTTAAATAAACTAAAAATTGAAGTTGTTATATGAACTAAAATTTCTATATATTGTTTAACGTGTCAAAAAATTTCTTTTAGTATTCTTTTTAATTTTTTGAAATTGATACAGATATAAATTTTAATTTCCCCCACATTATCTGATCCACATCTACCACCTAAACATATTTAAATAAGTCGTTAAAATGGATCTTTGACATATAAAAGTAGGAAGTGTTTTTTTTTATTTATAAAACTCACCTATAATAATTTAATAATATTAATTTGTTACAAATTTTTTCCTAAAAAATTCTCCGTGATCCACATGGTTTTAAGGCACCATAAACTAATTAATAATTCTTATTAATATATAATCAAAAAAATAAAAATATAAAAGAAAATAAGAATATGAAATAAAAGTGATGAGATATGGTGTTGAATCTTATATATTAAAGTTGTTAGGTCAACGCGAAAACAGAGACTATTTTAATAATTTAATTATTTATTTATTTATTTAATATTATTTATTTTAATGCCTCTTTTTATAGTTGAATTATTCCATAACTAATAATTTTGTATATAAGAGTAATTATTAAATAAATAAAATTCTATAAATTAAAAATTATTAAATAAATAGATAAACAGTAATAAAACAATAAAATAATTAAAACCTTATCTATAGTTCTCTAATACTTTTTTTTTAGAGTAATGTTATTTAGTACCAAAAAAATTTGAAAAAAATACAAAAATGCACGCATGTCGTAATTTAAGAGATAAATTTTAAATTCATTTTAATTTTAACTTCTTTTTTACTAAGGAATATGGGGTGATGGTGATATTGAATGGTGGAGATTTGTTCTTACATTTATTATTTTCATATTTTCTCACTAACAAGCATATTTCATATTTTAAAGAGTGATTTAACTTTTAAATTTTTATTCATTGGAATCACAGGGGAGGTGGTTGTAAACAATGTTATTCCAGAAATTTTATTCTTCCAATTCTTGATTTCTAGATTCGTAATAATAAACATTTTTCTTTTCTTTATAATAAATCATAATATTATTATTAAATAATTAATTAAAACAAAATCGACAAAATTCTCTTTTTTTATGCCAATAATTTCTGTCAAAAAGCCATATAACATGGCTTTAAATTATAACCTTCAATATTGATTAATAATTAATTAGTTAATTAAAAAATTGTTAAAAAGTTGGACATGTAACCCACCCACTTATTCATAAACTTACAAATTATTCTTATAACTTCCATTTCTAATGACAATAAATTCTATTAACATCATGTTAGAATCATAAAATCCAATTCAAAATGTACATATAATAATTAATTAATTAATTTAAAAATATTAAAAAATAGGACATGTAACCACCCACTAATTCATTAACTTACAAATTATTCATAACATTTATATGGTAACTTTCATTTCTCATAACAATATAATTTCTATTAAAATCATGTTAGAATTTAAAATTCAATCCGAAATAAAATGAGAGTTGCCTATTTATCTATACTCTATAACTATCTATAAAGACAATTCATACTTTTGGTCTGGCCTATTTTTGTTTCAATATTGCACTTCAAAAAACTTCCTGTTAAAAACTCCTTTGAATAGTTAATGGAGGGTTAAATTTAACATAACTGATGGAGGAGAGTAGTTATATATAATCATGGAGAAGTTATTTAAATATGGGAAACTGAAGGAAAACTAATTTATATTTTGAACATTACCATGTATTTTGTGAGATTTGTTGCATCATACTCCACACACAATACCATATCATTGAATTACATTTTTATTAGATCATATATTTTGCTTGATTAATTTATTCTCATTTTAAATCCATTTTTATTTTATTTCTCCATTCATTCTTTTGGGTTTGTTTTTTTTTCTAAATATGAAATTTATAGGATATCTAATTTGATTTTTCTTACATTTTGACAAAGTATAAACCTCTCATTCTCTTTTAAATTTTTTGTTCTCTGCAGGTTTGTGATGTCTCCTAAAAAATTAACTCTCACTTTTAATTTTTTTTAATTCTCTATAGGTTTGTGATATCTCCTAAGAAATTAACATTCACCTTTAATAAAATTTTGTTCTCTACAGGTTTGTAATGTTCTTAAGAAATTAATTTTTAGAGGAAGATGAGACAATTATTGTTGATGAGGAAGATGAGACAATTATTGTTGATGATGAAGAGAAGAGAAGAGAAGAACCATCAACAATCATTTTTTCTCCCCTTCATCCAGATCCAACATTTTTTCTCCCCTTCATCCAGATCCAACATGTGCAGGTATGTGTCTTGAACGCCATTTTTTCTTTGAAACAACTTTTTTGATGCCATTTTTTTGGTTCTCTAAAATAGAGACAGGCATGCCATTTTGTTTTGTTGTGTGTCCATTCCGGTAAGTTTGATGTCAATCTAACATCAAACCTAAATTTTATAAACTTTGGCCTCTTGGCAAGGGTTTAGATGGTTGTTTGAGCTGAGCTGACAAATTAGAAATTTTGTTAGTGTGTTAGTGAGGCTCTGTGAACAAAACTGAGAACTTTTAAAGAAAGAACAAAACAAGAAAATACAGAAGCTTTGTCAAGCCATAAGGTTTGAGAAAGACAATACAGAAGAAAACACAAGACGAAGGGGAGAAGTTGATGTGAAATGCAGAATAGAAGAAAGAGCGAAAATACCTACGGTTTCACGGCCGAAAATAATTAATAATCGAAACTTGAAGATGATTGTAATGAACCCATTTGATAGGACATAGAAAGTAGATTCTCTCAAAGTTTTTTATCACTAGGCGATTTTAACCTCACAAAAACCATGACCGCAACGACACTATATCAAATTGTTTCACACGTCCCACCACAAACATAACTCATATGATACCAAAGAGTGAAAAAACTGTACCTGTGAGAGTTCAAAAGTTTCTAACACACTCCAATCATTTCAATCCATTCTTTTAGCCTTAAATCTTTGGATAGCGGAGATGGCAAAGCATAATCTTTTTACCGTAAGGATGGTTGTGATCGGTGGAGATTTTGAATCATCTGGAGTCTGATCTTGACAAATCTTTGAAGAATATGGGAGGACAAATTTTAGCGTACAACAATGGTATTCTATCAAATACGAGCGCCTGAAATTAGTGAAGTAAAATATCAATAGCAGAAAATATCAGATATTAACAAAAAAATAGACATTAACTATTACCTCAAAAACCGGCGCACACCCATTAAAAGAAATTTGTTTATGTGGCTTATTTATGGCATCCATAAGCTTACAAAAAGACAGATTGAAGTTATCACCAATCACTTTTGCCCAATTTACATTTTCAAATGGATCTATGTCTTCCACTATTCCCCAAGAAGATATACGGGGGATCTTGGGGTCTGCGGAACATATAAAAAAAGCTCAATCAACTAAAAACAAAGAAGTTTCATAAAATTATATTTTCTCTCCTCGTCATTGACATCCATTTCACATAAATTATTTTTAATTTGTGCTGCTTGGATTTTCTCAGAACTACCTAAATTAAATTTTGTCATCCAATTATATGGTTCGATAACTGGAATGCGAGCTGGAGTCGTAGTATCTTTTGGAGGAGAGATCTCTGGAGAAAATACTCTTCCGGTTCTAGTTACCTTGCTTGATCCGGTGATGTTGTCGACGTCGGGATCAGAGGCTTCTGAATCTTGACGTGCAAGGTTCACTCCTTCGTCCTTGCCATTTGTTGATCCATTGTCTTTCCTGTACCAACAATGTTTGGCCAAATGACCCCACTTTTCATAATTATAACACTGCATATCTTTCTTATCTTCTTTGTACTTTCGATAGTTTCCTCCTCCTCTTTTCGAGGATTCAGAACCCCTATCATCGACCTGATGCTTATGAGGGTTCGACTAAGACTTATTGCCCTGATTCTTGTCGAATTTGCCTTTGAATTTGTTGGAACCACCATTCTTTTTCCATGACTGAGCCTGCAAATCTTGTATTGAATCTTGGACTCCTTTCCTTTTAAAAATCCTAATCTCATGTGCTTCCAATGAACCAACCAAATCTTCCAATTTTAGGGTTTCAAGTTGATTGGATTCTTGAATAGTTACCTTCTCAACTATCATCTTATCAATTAAGGTTTCACCACAACCCTTCATGAGATGGACGAGTTTCTGTACTTTTGATTTGATATTATATTAATAATATCAATCCCAATAATATCTCAACAAATCTCAATAATATCTCAACAAGAAGAGTCTGATGTGAATTATAGCATCAAATGTTTTCGTAGATGCATTTATGAATTCGTATGGTGGGTGAGAGACAAGGGGTGGGGTTAGAGATTCTCAATTTTTGGATTTGAAAAGGTGGGTAAATTGGGATTAAAAAAAATAGGTATATTGAGTATTGTTTTAAAAAAATAGGGTATATGAAGCATTTCCCTCCATTTTTTCCTCTTTTTCTGTGTTAACCTCGTCTCTCTCCTCATTCACTCCGCCAATTCACCCCATTCTCTCGCGTGCGTCGTTTCTTTGTCTTTCTTCCAAAACTGATTGATCTCATTTACTGCTGCTATAAATGTTGATGGATTACACACACTCTCTTTCTGTTGGCGTCATTTCCATTTCTCGAGGTGGTAGATGTGAATCAGATAATGTGGAAACTACCCATATACAAGAAAAGAAAAGATAATAGCGGACCGACTGCCCAAATGTTTTTATCTGATTTCGAGCTTCAACAATGGAATGAAGGTGGAATGTATTGTGGCAACAGCAAGAACATCTTTCTACAGTTTGTTAAAATTCCCCTACACTATTGCCTATAGCAGCAGCTGCAAAGTTAGAGAACTATGAAGCATAGACACCGAAAACAAACTGACACTATCACATATTAGAGTTTACTTTCCTATGAACCTTCTACTAGAGTTCCTAGACACCAATATGCCATTAAACTATTGTGCATCCAAGCAAGGTTCAGCAGTTAGATGTCAACTTAAATCAACAATCAATCTTCAATCACAAGTTCCTATAGCTAGCTATATCAAGCTATAAAGCGCCATAATTTAAAATGTACACCAGTTACAATAAGGGTATTATATAAAGATTTGCAGCCACAATCTGGGCTTCGACATTACAATTCTTTATATTTCCGAAACAGAAAAACCGCAACGCAAATGTGGCCATGACACTGATATCAATAATCAATCTTCCGTCACATGTTCCTATAGCTAGCTATGTGATGCTCTAGGGTTTCATATAAAGATTCACAACCGCGATATAGCCTACACCATATATGTTCTTTATTCTACCAAAACAACAAAACCATAACACAAAGTGCGATATCAAGAATCACGACATGGTCGTGATTGCGAATGATACTTAAAATCTTCTTTGGATTTTCACTTTTTCTCCCTAGAATTTCTTTTGGTTAAGTTCAGGACTCGGCCGAGAATTATGAGTTTGCAATTTACACATTATCAAAACCCAAAAATTCAAAACAAATACACAAATTGCAGGGCAATCCAAAGCATCAAAAAGAAGCACATAGATCTCAAAAGAAGAAGAAAAGGGAGAGTAGAATAGGAATAGGGATTTACCTGGAGGTTTGTGCAGAGCCTTCTGTATTTCTTTTTTTGGAGCAATTTGTCAAGCTTGAGAAGGGGGAAGACGAGAGAGGTGCGAGCCAGAATGGAGAGGGAATAGAGAAATAATTCTTAGGTTTAATTATTTAATGTTTTTGGTTTTAGCACTGGTTTAATGCGTAAACTAAATGATATATTTATTTGAAAATGTGAAATAAATGAATTGGCATTGCGCCTCAGTGGCAAAAATCAAAAGATACGACCAATCAAAGTTTAGAAAATAACCAGTTTTTCAATACAACTTCCACTGGTGGAAGATAAGTGTAAACTGACAAAACCAGTTTTTCACCATTCAAAAGACTTCAAACATCATTATAACACATATATTTCACATGCCTGCTATTAATCATCAAAATATAACACCAACACATGGTTATATCATCAAAATCACCAAAAACTTAATTTTCTTAAAATTCAAGAAACTTGGAAAAACAAACAATCACACAAATCATCACTACAAAAACCATACAAATTCGATTGTTAATGAGTTATTATTTGATACCTTGCAGTATTTTGTTCTGTTGCGAGCTCTAGTATTGATTTTCCTAGCATAATGTGGTATTGATTTTCCTAGCATAATGTGGTGTAACATATAGAGCAAGTGAGTTCGAATTTTGATTTTGACCCTTCTTGAGCTCTTAGGCAACATCAGACTAAGGACAAAAGGAAACATTAGCATATAAAAGTGCCTTTGTTCTTAGCCTCCTTATTAGCACTTGTTGAAGAAAGGGGTCAATGCATTGAACTCATCATGACTATTCATTCTTTAGGGTCTGTTCTCATGCCATAATGAAGTCTTTTAAGAGTTTAAGTTCTTATATGAAAACATGAATGGTTTTATAACAATTTAAAATATTTAAGCCCATATTTTTTTTAGGGCTTTTTGCCCGATCCGAAAAAACCCGTTTAAAATATGGGCTATAATGTTAATTATCAATTGAAATTATAATATAAGAGAAAAAGAAGCAAACAATTCTTTAATCATTGTTTGAGCATCGAAATGGTATATTCTAAAATCTCCAATAAACATAAGTTCATAAGCAGGAGTGATAAAACATAAATCACAACTAAAGTAACACTAACACAAGCTCTAAATAACATAATCCAAGTGCCTAATAGAATCCGAGGCCAGTTGGGGCAGCAGAGGCAGACATGCAGCACCTGGGGGAACAATAATATGAGCATCACAACCTAGCCTACACGTACAACACAATCTGTATTAGTATAAAGTAGAATAATCGTTACTGATATAAAGCATTCCATCATTCAATTACCATGTTGATCCAGTAGCCTTAAAAACATGGTGAAATTGTAGGGTATGAAATAGTTTCTCTTGTTATAGTCACTTCTTTGTAATGCTTAATGTTAAAGAAATCCAAGGGTCAAAATAGATTTAGAAAAAGTCAAAAAATAGATTTTGCAAAGGAAATGTGTACCTAGGAATTGATCCTTGATTCTTTTCTTCTTTTAGAAGACTTAGCAGTGGAGGATCGGTGGCTGGAACATTCGGGTTCATGTACAGTAATATCAGCATCTTGAAGAATTCTCCGAAAAAAATTGAGTCTTGTTTGAAGAGGCTGATTTGCCAAAGACATATATTCAATAGATCCTGAATTAAATTTTTGGAGTAACCAAATCTTCTCATCATCAGTAATTCCTAGAGCAGTCAAATCTTCACCATATTGCAGTGCCATAAGCCCCACAAAACCCGTCTCCTTCCTAAACTCTCTAATTCCTTTTCTATTTGATGTGGAGGTAAGTATCCTTCTCGCCTTCTCCTCGCAAACCTTAATGAGTTCTTCCAACGCCTGTGCATCATTTTTGTACTCTATGATTTCACCACTCAGACTGCTTTGCGGCCTAACTATAGAGTGCATTGTTTCAAGGGCATCAAATGTTAGAGAGCCAAATTTGTCAGTAAAGGAGCTAAATACACGGTAAATATTGAGCCTGAGAGAATGACTCAAACACTTTTGAATCAATTCAGGGCCACTTTTATACTCCTTATAATATTTGATGACAACTTTTAGCACGTCGGTTATCGTGGGATTGTGAAATAGACTACGACTTCCCAATTCTTTCACAATTTCCTCCCATAAGGTAATATCATACCAACCTTCGTATTTGTCATATGGAGGATGTCCAAGTCTAGCTTTGAACAGCTGATTAAAAAGTTGTTCTTCATTCAGATCCTTATCCCCAACAACCTGCTGCTGCATATTCTGTAAGGAAGAAAACAAAACGTAGATTAAATTAGTGAAATACCTATTGCCAAATTACATACAAGCTTGAAATTACATACAGTGGGAGAATAAAAATGGCTGTCACAGTCACCCTCACAGTCACTATCCCGGGTTCTTTTTTTATGCTGCACTGTCGCTGTTCCTTAAGAGACATATAAATGAAAATTAGACAACTTGCAACAACAATAAAAAAACAATATGAGAAATTAAATCAATTTTCCAACCTAAACTTGTACCATGAGTAAGGCTAGAACTTAAGGAATGAGTACAACTACTTTGATCCACGTTCTCTTCCTGCATCTCTAACCAACAGAAATATAAGTGATCAAAATCTCATCTTCCAAAGCTATGTTTCGCACATGCATGTGAAAAAAGCTAAGTTTAATTACGCAGATGCATCAGTGAGATTTGAAATGGAACTTTGCCCAAAAATGCACATACATGTGCAAATTGAATTCCATGTGCAGTTTCGCACATTCATGTGAAAAAGCCGAGTTCAATTATGCACATGCATAAGCGAAATTGTACATTTATCTTACCAAGACCTTGTGTCTGAAAGAGAAAGAGAAAGAGATCTCTTGGGTGAATATACTGCAAATGTTGAAGAAGTTCAAGGCATCCTAATTTCTGGGTGAATATACTGCAAGTGATAGCTACCTTTTTCGAAGTTCTGATCATTGTATTTCGTTTTTCATAGTAAAATAAAAAGTGATTAGAGATGAGGAAATGAGGAATACATTACTTGACTCCTGTGTATAGATATTGTTAGTGTTGCTCATTGCATCTTAGTTGTCGAGAAAGAATCAAGTAAACAAATACTTGTTTTTGAGGAAAAAAAGGCAAAAATAAAGAATGTTATTTCCTGACATATTTTCTATTGGAAATAAACTCTACATTAAACTTCACTTGCAGTTTTCCAAAGATTAGCAATTGACCAGTTCTGCAATGCAAACCGTTGCATCATCATCCCTGTAAGCCATCAGTGAATGTGACATTATAAATACATTGGAAAAGGCTACCCATATAGATTTTGTTTGAATTCTATTTTTGTACATGGAAAAGGCTACCCAGATAAGGTGTGAAAAAATCTTTCACTTACCTAATGACATTATGCTATTAAAAATCTTTCACTTGCCTAGTTGCTATATGAGTATATGCAGGGGCAGAGATCAAAACACATAGAGCTAGAGAGAGACTGAGCGAGCCATACCCCAATAGCAAACTGGAGTGACATGTTCGTGTTCGTTACTCATCGGCCAACGACGGAGAATTAGAGAGAGCGAGAGAGAGAGAGAGATAAACCGAAAGCAAAAGAGAGAGGGAGAGAGAGATAAACCTTCAGCTCTGTTAGCTATACTATCTCCCAGCGGTGGTGTGGGACGACTGTAGCTCTGTGCGAGAAAGAAAAAGGTAAGAAAAAGGTCTGGGGCGAGGGGGATTCGAACCCCAGACCTTGGACATTTAAGATTTCACATTATACCAACGTTTTAACCACTGGGGCGCAATGTCAATTCATTTATTTCATATTTTCAAATAAATATATCATTTAGTTTATGCATTAAACCAGTGCTAAAACAAAAAGCATTCAATTATTAAACCTAAGAATTATTTCTCTATTCCCTCTCCATTCTGGCTCGCACCTCTCTCGTCTTCTCCCTTCTCAAGCTTGACAAATTACTCCAAAAAAAGAAATACATAAGGCTTTGCACAAACCTCCAGGTAAATCCCTATTCCTATTCTACTCTCCATTTTCTTCTTCTTTTGAGATCTCTGTGCTTCCTTTTGATGCTTTGGATTGCCCTGCAATTTGTGTATTTGTTTTGAATTTTTGGGTTTTGATAATGTGTAAATTGCAAACTCATAATTCTCGGCCGAATCCTGAACATAACCAAAAGGAATTCTAGGGAGAAAAAGTGAAAATCCAAAGAAGATTTTAAGTAGCATTCGCAATCACGGTCATGTCGTGATTCTTGATATCGCGCTTTGTGTTGCGGTTTTGTTGTCTTGGTAGAATAAAGAACATATATGGTGTAGGCTATATCGCGGTTGTGAATCTTTATATGAAACCCTAGAGCATCACATAGCTAGCTATAGGAACATGTGATGGAAGATTGATTATTGATATCGGTGTCATGGCCGCACGTGATGTCGTTGTCGAATGTCGATATTGTGATTTTGTTGTATGTTTTAGCCTTTCAAAGCATTAACTTATTTCAAATAGAACTTACTTCTGATTTTTCTGCTATAATATCAGTTTGTTCATATGTTCTTGATCCCAAAACAACTTCAATATGGTTAATGTAATTATTGATAAAACATTGATAATGGAAATTATTATGAACAACAGAAACATGCTTATGGTGATAATGGAAAGCAAGAAAGAAGAGAGAATAATGATATCTCTCACACCTGTTATAGATCATAGAACAGTGTATATATACAAGTAGTTGTTACACAAGAAAGGAAATGTAACTAACTAACTAACTCATTTATTATCTGTTAGCCCCCCACAAGTTGGAATTTGGTAAATGTTTAACAAATTCAACTTGGATTTGAGAGAAGTGAATGGCTTAGGGAGAAAAGGCTTGGTAAAAAAATCAGCAAGCTGGTTATGAGATGCAACCGGAAGCAACTTCATGACACCTGCAGCAAATTTTTCTCGAACGATATGGAAGTCTATGTCAAGATGTTTGGTGCGTTCGTGAAGAACAGGGTTGGCTGCAATATGAAGGGCGCTTTGGCTATCACAAAACAAGACAGGAACTTGAGTGCAAGTGATGGACATATCCCTAAGCAAGTAGAGTAACCATTGAAGTTCACAAGTAGCTGCTGCGAGGGCTCGATATTCAGCTTCGGAGGATGAACGAGAGACCGTTGTTTGTTTCTTAGTGCGCCATGAAATGAGAGATTTTCCTAGGTAGAAACATGATCCAGAGACAGATCTCCTTGTATCAAAACATCCAGCCCAGTCAGCATTAGAAAATCCAGTGACATGAAGAGAGGCTTGTGTGTAACCATGGCAAGTAAGTGTGGAAGTCAGCTTTTCAAACCATTGTCTGCTAGCTTGTTTTAATCCATACAAGGATTTGATGAGTTTGCAAACTTGGTTGGGTTTAGATGATTGAACACCTGGTGGAAGGATCATGTAAACATCCTCATGCAAGTCTCCATGTAAGAATGCGTTATTGACGTCCAATTGGTGTAAATGCCAGTTCTGAGCAGAAGCCAAAGCAAGGACAAGTTGAACTGTAGTGAGCTTTGCTACTGGAGAAAAAGTATCTGAGTAATCGATCCCTTCAATTTGATTGTATCCTTTGACAACAAGACGTTCCTTAAATCTCTCGATAGTGCCATCTGATTTATGTTTGACCTTATAAACCCAACGACAACCAATAGGTTTCACATTGGGTGGAAGATCCACAATAATCCAAGTTCCAGTTTGCTCAAGGGCATCCAGTTCAAGTTTCATAGCTTGGTTCTAACATTCATATTTGACAGCCTCTTTGTAAGTTTTAGGTTCATGGTTAGTGGAAATGGAAAGACTAAAACGATAATGTGAAGGAGAAAGATTAGAATAAGAAATAAAATTAGAAAGAGAATAAAGAGTACCTGAGGATGATTGTGTTTGTGTGTCATTGAAGGTAGTACATACATAGTCCTTTAAATGAGATGGAGAATGTTTAGCTCGTGAAGAAATACGAGGGTTAGATGGAGGAATATCCTGAGGTTGAGGAGTATCATGATATATAGATGGATCAGGATGAGTAAGAATTGTCTGGTCAGTGATGGGAACAAGCAGAGTTTGTGGTGAGTGAGATTGTGACTTGGGAATGGAATTACTAAAGTATTCCCAGTTTTGGGTGATGGAGTCAGATTGCCTATGGTAGGGAAGGATATGTTCATGGTATGTAACATTCCTGGAAATGAAAATGTTAGAGGAATGAAGATCAAGGAGGATTGATCCTTTATAACCAACAACATAACCAAGGAAAATAGATTTTCTGGCTCGAGTGTCAAGTTTGGTTCGATGGTTTGTCAATGTAGAAGCATAACATAGGGATCCAAAAACTTTGATTTGGTTTATATCAGGGGGTTTGTTATGAAGAACATGATAAGGAGATTGATTATTTAGGATAGGTGTGTTGACTCTATTGATGATGAATGCTCCATAACTAACAGCATATGACCAATATTGCTTGGGAAGGTTTGAGTGATAAAGTAAAGCACGATCTACATTGAGAAGATGTTGGTGTTTTCTCTCTACTCTAGCATTTTGTTGGGGAGACTCTACACAAGATCGTTGGTGAATAATACCTTTAGAAGCATAAAAATGAGGTATCAGGAATTCAGGTCCATTGCCAGACCTAATATACTTAGGGCAAAAATGAAACTGGTTTTCTATAAGGTTAACAAACTGTTTGACATGGACTGAAATTTCAGACTTGGTTTTGAGCAAAATAATCCAAGTAAAACGACTAAAATCATCAACTACTGTTAGGAAATATTTGTGATTATGAATGGAATTGGTAGAGATGGGACCCCATATATCAAAGTGGAGTAATTCAAATTTTTGAGAAGCATGAGAAGTACTCAATGAATAAGGAATTTTCTTGTGTCTAGCATAGTGGCATACATCACAAACAGCCTTATTGTCATTACAAATTATTGTATACATTTGCGACATATTTGAAAGTCTAGAATGAGATAAGTGACCCAACCTAAAATGCCATAAGGCTTGTTAAGGAACCACCTTACAATTATTGGTAAAAGAAGTAGGGACATAAATTATGGGTAGAGAAATATTGGAAATAATGGTGTTTGAGGGAGTAGCTTCTGCAGCAGGGCAACCATGATCAGGCTTGAGTCTGTACAAACCTTCAATTTGCTCAGCCAAACCAATCATCCTCTTGGTGTTCATTTCCTGAATATAACACTTGTTGTCAGAAAATTGGAAAATGCAGTTTAGAGATTGGCATAATTTAGAAACAGACAAAAGGTTTAGAGAGAATTCAGGAGTATATAACACATTGGACAGATGCAGATGAGGGAAAAAATGAATTGTGCCTGCAAGTTTGGCTACAATAACAGATCCATTAGGAAGGCATACATTAATGGGTGGAATTTTATGAAAAGAACTAAACCAATGCAAAGAGGAGCAAACATGGTCATTTGCTTCTGAATCAATAATCCAAAACTCAGGTTTATTGAGAGTAGTGCATGAAACAGTTGAAATGAAAGTTTTACCTGATGATTCATGTGGTGACATACCAAAATGTGTGGAAATGTGGTTTGTACTGGTGTTGGTGTTGGGGTTAAGAGGCAGCAAATTTGTTTGTTGGAACAAGCTAATCAACTGAGTCATTTGTTCTTGAGTGATGCTAGCACTTGAATTGTTTGTAGAAGCTTCTTCACCAGTATGAACCATGGATTGAGTATCAACAGGAGTAGAATGTGAGATATTGGCTGAACTTTGTCTTTTGGCAAAATGCTGAGGAAATCCATGTTTACGATAGCACACATCAATGGTGTGACCAGTCTTATGGCAGAAGGTGCAAACTCTACTATCTTTTCGGGTGTTTGAAGAGTTGCCATAAGAATTGAAATTTTTGCCACGATCATTGAATTTCCTTGGATCAAGAGCATTAACCAAAGTATTTGCTTCATCAACACTAGGAGTAAGATCAGCACTAGGAAGCAATGAGACATTGTGACTCTCTTCTTGTATCACCATTGAATACAGTTTGTTGATAGATGGAAGAGGATCTATCAACAGAACTTGTGTTTTAATGACAGAGAACTTGTCATTCAAGCCTGTTAGAAATTGAATAATCTGATCTTCAAGACGGAAATCTCGTGCACTGCGCATAGCCTTGCAACGACATTGATGAACACATATGCAACTTGGGATTGGTCTATGAGAATTAAATTCTTCCCATAATCCACGTAATTCAGTAAAATAGTCAAGAACTGATTTGTTACCTTGTTTGAGATTGTTGATTTCTGCACGTAATTGGAAACTCGAATGCGATCAACCTTTGCGAAGCGTTCTTTGAGATCATTCCATGCATTCAAAGGATTCTCCAAGAACACGATTGTTTGAGCAATCGCTGGGTTAACTGAATTAAGGATCCACGAATGCACAAGACAATTACAACGCTCCCATGCAGAACGGTTAAGATCGTTATGTGCAGGGATTGGAATCAATCCATTGATGAAGGAGATCTGGTTTACATTAATTTCTATGTTCTATTTGAAAAGTTCTATGTTCTATTTGAAAAGTTGAATTGTAAATTAAAACATGATTTCTATTATTAGAACATGAATGAAATTTATATCTCTAAAATAATGTTCGATTTTTACTTAAGAAAAACTGGAATCATAATAATAATTATTCACAATTATTGACCACTTTGATAATTTTACACAAATTAAAAAATATAACTAATATTATATGAAAATATTGTGAATTGTTTTATAATACAATTTATTAATTTTTTATTGATGGGTTTAAACAATATAAAAAAATAAAAATAAATAGAGTACTAAAAAAATATATGGCTCTTAAAGTGATACGTATGTGCCTTTTTTTCATGTCACGTGTGGCGTCTCTTGCGGTATGTGCGGGACACTGGATATAGCTGAACTGTTGCATAGAATCACACGGGTGTAGTCTAGGTCAGGGTAGGTCAAAGAGAAACGCAACTTCGACCAATACATTTATTTTACACTTTCAAGTACTACCAATCTCATATTCACTTTCAACTACTACCAATCTCATATTCATGTCCTAACCACCAGAGCGCATTCTCTCAAAATCATTTCTAACTGAATTTGCTAGCTCCAAAGACGTTCACAACTTCGAGATAAATTTCCTTCACTAAACATCTCAGTCATAAACCAGTTGCTTACCATCCTTAATTATGAATTCTCATTTGATCCTGAAATGTTGACAAAATTATGGAAAGAATCAACTAGAGATAAATCCATTGTTGCTCAGGTAATTTTTGTCTTATTAAGACTTTAATACATAGTGTTGTTGCTGGGCTTTTGTGTCATGGAACAAGTGAATAAAAAAATAGTAACATTGTATTCTCTTATGCTTCCCACCACTTATTTGCTAAAATGTCTGTACCAATATCTCCAAAACTTATGAGTACTGCTAGTGAGTCAGCTTTGAAAAAGAAAGTTCCACGTCCTCCGTTGAAACCAACAAGTTATATCACACATGAAGTGAAATTATTTCTTGTTGCAGATTTGCCTTCTTCGTTCTCACCTTCACCATACATTATTAACCACAAACGGCGTGGGCTGCGTTTCTTCAAAAGTTTGTCTGAGGCTAGTGAGCTTTCCAAACATAATAGTGAAACAATTGATGTTAAGAGATTTGATATTGTGACTGGAATTTCTGCTATTGATCTTAATTATGTCTATGTGAACAAATGCATTACAGAGTTATCTTTTGAAGAGTTAAAGTTGTTAGTCTTTAATGATAATATAAAATCTATTGGTGGGGATATTAATGTTGAATTGTTTCAACGTGAATATAAGTTGTATGTGTTAATTTGTTAATAGAAGGTTCATAGGGAAGAAAACTCTAATACGTGATAGTGTCGGTTTGTTTTCAGTGTCTATGCTTCATAGTTCTCTAACTTTGCGGCTGCTGTTCTCTAACTTTGCGGCTGCTGCTATAGGCAATAGTGTAAGGGAATTTTAAGGTGATATCGGGTCTTGTAGTATTAAGATATAATAGTCTGCCAATAGTCTTCGATAGGAAGGAATATCAACAAATGCAAAACTATCATCATAACATAACTTGATGGATATATCAAATGGTGTGCGTGCAGGTTTAGATCCCAAGAATCCTGAGTCAGTCAAGAGATCGAGGCAGTATTTTCTTTTGCAAAGGGAGATACCTTGTTTAGAATGAGCAACTTCCAAGCCTAAAAATACTGATATGCATGTATACTTATATAAGACAGTTGGAAAAGTTAGGTAATGAGCTATTACTAATAATTTGAAAGTTAGGAAAAACATGTTGCTCAGGTGCCAAATTGTTTTTATGTTTGTTTATATTAGTTATTTTATTTGATGATCTTGCTTGATTTTGTAGATTGTTCCTCTATTTATGTGCTTTCTGGTATAAACTATACCGTATCTATCACATTCTTATGGATATAGTAACATTTTCAAAGGAATGGTTCTCTTGACTAATATGCCAATATAATTTTTTTCATAGCTTAGAATGTCTAAATACATTTTTGAGAATATATTATAGAGAATATGTATGTAATCTTATGTCTATAACTTTATTTTTTGTTTGTTGTTTTTAAAATTAGAATAGGGCCTCTAGATTAATTGGGCATCTTCTCGAAAATGCTTATTTGCACTGAGCACTTGGAACAATTGCAAAACTGGACATTAGACCAAAGAATTAAAACTCGTCTAGAAGATACTGGTTTTCCACGTTTAAGCGAACTTGGAAAATGTCAACATGATAACCAGCTTCTGGAATATGTGGTATCCCATTTTAATCCCAACACATGTGGATTTGAATTTGGTGATACAAAATTAGTTTTTAGCTTGAAAGATGTGCTCAAAATTACAGGCTTGCACATTACAGGCAAGCCTGTCACTGGGATTGATGATGACATGATTTTTTGGTCCAACAAATATTTTGGACAAGATTTGAACTTTAAAAAACAAGGTGTAATTCGAGGAGCTATCAAGTTATGTGTTCTTACAAAAAAAATTTATGGAAGTTCCACCAAATGCAACTGAAGTTGAACTAGATCGACATGTTAGAGCATATGCTCTTTATATTCTAGGTTCGTCCTTATTCAAAAGTTCTTCTAAGGGTGATGCTGATACTCTCTATCTTCCACTGCTTTATAATGTTGGAGAAATAAAAGATTATGCCTGGGGTGCTGCAGCTCTTGCACACCTATACTGTTCTATGAAAAATATTAAAGAAAAGGGTATAAAGCATCTGCACGGGATTGCATTGTCCCTGCAGGTAAGTTATTTTATATTTCCATTCTCCAATTAAAAAATGTATTTCATTTTAACAATTGAGAAATAAGTGTCACTTCTTTTCGTTGTGATCTGATAGGTCTTTATATTCCTACGTCTGAAAAACATCAAGGACTTACGCAAGTTACCGAGTTTGAATGTCGCAAATGAACAACTTCCGTTGATCGGTGATTGGTCACGTCATTTAGAACAATTTACCTTGAACAAAAGTAAAAAGGTAGATTATTTGGATTTAATTAACAAAATAACTGCTAAAGAGGTAAGCCTTGTAATTTAACAACACCAATATTTTTATTTGAAGTTTTTCCTTTAATTAATTTAGGAATTGAAAATTGTGTTGCATTTGTAGGTTAACTACAATCCATATGATGATATTCAATTTCCGGACAAGGAAGAATATTCAACTTTCGAGTTGGAAAAAAGAGTTTGTTGTAAATCAACCTTACAACAAACTTATCTCATCAACTTTAATGAGGTTGCATTTTTTCAACCGCATAAGTTTAAAAAACAATATTCTAATGCATGTGTCGGGGATAAACATTACAAACACAAATGGAAATTGTACCCAAGAGGTGGTCGAAAGGGGAAAGATTGGCAAGAGAGGAAAAATTATAGAAAATATATCAATCATTGGAACATAAGTTGTTTAGCTAAAAGACCACAACTTGAAAGAGGACAAGATTTTGTAATGAGTGATTGTATTGAAGATGCAGGAGATAACAATGAAGACGGGGAAGAAACAAAGATCAAGGAGACACTAGGCAAGTGGAAGCAACATGTACCCATTCTTGTTTAGGTAAAAGACCACAACTTGAAAGAGGACAAGATTTTGTAATGAGTGATTGTATTGAAGATGCAGGAGATAACAATGAAGACGGGGAAGAAACAAAGATCAAGGAGCACATGTTGCTTCCACTTGCCTAGTGTCTCTTTGATCTTTGTTTCTTCCCCCGTCTTCATTGTTATCTCCTGCATCTTCAATACAATCACTCATTACAAAATCTTGTCCTCTTTCAAATTATGGTATTTTACCTAAACAAGAATGGGTACATGTTGCTTCCACTTGCCTAGTGTCTCCTTGATCTTTGTTTCTTCCCCGTCTTCATTGTTATCTCCTGCATCTTCAATACAATCACTCATTACATGTGGAAGAAGTTCTTTAAGCAGGTATAGGGAGTGCTCAACGTCAACATTCACATCTTCATTGGTTTTCTTTTTTGTCGTGTTACTCCCTTTGCAGCGTATATACACTATAGGAAAAGAAGAATGGGTACATTTTGCTTCCAGTTGCCTAGTGTCTCCTTGATCTTTGTTTCTTCCCCTGTCTTCATTGTTATCTCCTGCATCTTCAATACAATCACTCATTACAAAATCTTGTCTTCTTTCAAGTTGTGGTCTTTTACCTAAACAAGAATGGGTACATGTTGCTTCCACTTGCCTAGTGTCTCCTTGATCTTTGTTTCTTCCCCGTCTTCATTGTTATCTCCTGCATCTTCAATACAATCACTCATTACAAAATCTTGTCCTCTTTCAAGTTGTGGTCTTTTACCTAAACAACTTATGTTCCAATGATAGATATATTTTCTATAATTTTTCTGCCCTTGCCAATCTTTCCCCTTTCGACCACCTCTTGGGTACAATTTCCATTTGTGTCTGTAATGTTTATCCCCGACACATGCATTAGAATATTATTTTTTAAACTTATGCGGTTGAAAAAATGCAACCTCATTAAAGTTGATGAGATAAGTTTGTTGTAAGGTTGATTTACAACCAACCCTTTTTTCCAACTTGAAAGTTGAATATTCTTCCTTGTCCGAAAATTGAATATCATCATATGGATTGTAGTTAACCTACAAATGCAACACAATTTTCAATTCCTAAATTAATTAAAGGAAAAACTTCAAATAAAAATATTGGTGTTGTTAAATTACAAGGCTTACCTCTTTAGCAGTTATTTTGTTAATTAAATCCAAATAATATACCTTTTTACTTGTTCTAAATGACGTGACCAATCACCGACCTATGGAAGTTGTTCATTTGCGACATTCAAACTCGGTAACTTGAGTAAGTCATTGATGTTTCTCATATGTAGGAATATAAAGACCTATCAAATCACAACGAAAAGAAGTGACACTTATTTCTCAATTGTTAAAATGAAATACATTTTTTAATTGGAGAATGGAAATATAAAATAACTTACCTGCAGGGACAATGCAATCTCGTGCAGATGCTTTATACCCTTTTCTTTAATATTTTTCATAGAACAATATAGGTGTGCAAGAGCTGCAGCACCCCAGGCATAATCTTTTATTTCTCCAACATTATAAAGCAGTGGAAGATAGAGAGTATCAGCATCACCCTTAGAAGAACTGCTGAATAAGGACGAACCTAGAATATAAAGAGCATATGCTCTAGCATGTGGATCTAGTTCAACTTCAGTTGCATTTGGTGGAACTTCCATAAATTTTTCTCTAAGAAAACATAACTTGATAGCTCCTCGAATTACACCTTGTTTTTTAAAGTTCAAATCTTGTCCAAAACATTTGTTGGACCAAAAAATCATGTCATCATCAATCCCAGTGACAGGCTTGCCTGTAATGTGCAAGCCTGTAATTTTGAGCACATCTTTCAAGCCAAAAACTAATTTTGTATCACCAAATTCAAATCCACATGTGTTGGGACTAAAATGGGATACCACATATTCCAGAAGCTGGTTATCAGGTTGACATTTTCCAAGTTCGCTTAAACGTGGAAAATCGGTATCTTCTAGACGAGTTTTAATTCTTTGGTCTAATGTCCAGTTTTGCAATTGTTCCAAGTGCTCAGTGCAAATAAGCATTTTCGAGAAGATGCCCAATTAATCTAGAGGCCCTATTCTAATTTTAAAAACAACAAACAAAAAATAAAGTTATAGACATAAGATTACATACATATTCTCAAGAATGTATTTAGACATTCTAAGCTAAGAAAAAAATTATATTGGCATATTAGTCAAGAGAACCATTCCTTTGAAAATGTTACTATATCCACAAGAATGTGATAGATACGGTATAGTTTATACCAGAAAGCACATAAATAGAGGAACAATCTACAAAATCAAGCAAGATCATCAAATAAAATAACTAATAAACAAACATAAAAACAATTTGGCACGTGAGCAACATGCTTTTCCTAACTTTAAAATTATTAGTAATAGCTCATTACCCAACTTTTCCAACTGTATTATATAAGTATACATTTATATCAATATTTTTAGGCTTGGAAGTTGCTCATTCTAAACAAGGTATCTCCCTTTGCAAAAGAAAATACTGCCTCGATCTCTTGACTGACTCAGGATTCTTGGGATCTAAACCTGCACGCACACCATCTGATCTATCCATCAAGTTATGTTATGATGATAGTTTTGCATTTGTTGATATTCCTTCTTATCAAAGACTATTGGCAGACTATTATATCTTAATACTACAAGACCCGATATCACCTTAAAATTCCCTTACACTATTGCCTATAGCAGCAGCAACAAAGTTAGAGAACTATGAAGCATAGACACTGAAAACAAACCGACACTATCATGTATTAGAGTTTTCTTCCCTATGAACCTTCTATTAACAAATTAACACATACAACTTATATTCACGTTGAAACAATTCAACATTAATATCTTCACCAATAGATTTTATATTATCATTAAAGACTAACAACTTTAACTCTTCAAAAGATAACTCTGTAATGCATTTGTTCACATAGACATAATTAAGATCAATAGCAGAAATTCCAGTCACAGTATCAAAGCTATTAACATCAATTGTTTCACTATTATGTTTGGAAAGCTCACTAGCCTCAGACAAACTTTTGAAGAAACGCAGCCCACGCCGTTTGTGGTTAATAATGTATGGTGAAGGTGAGAACGAAGAAGACGAATCTGCAACAAGAAATAATTCCACTTCATGTGTGATATAACTTGTTGGTTTCAACGGAGGACGTGAAACTTTCTTTTTCAAAGCTGACTCACTAGCAGTACTCATAAGTTTTGGAGATATTGGTACATGCATTTTAGCAAATAAGTGGTGGGAAGCATAAGAGAATACAATGTTACTATTTTTTTTATTCACTTGTTCCACGACACAAAAGCCCAGCAACAACACTATGTATTAAAGTCTTAATAAGACAAGCAATCAACACAGGAAAAATTACCTGAGCAACAATGGATTTATCTCTAGTTGATTCTTTCCATAATTTTGTCAACATTTCAGGATCAAATGAGAATTCATAATTAAGGATGGTAAGCAACTGGTTTATGACTGAGATGTTTAGTAAAGGAAATTTATCTCGAAGTTGTGAACGTCTTTGGAGCTAGCAAATTCAGTTAGAAATGATTTTGAGAGAATGCGCCCTGGTGGTTAGGACATGAATATGAGATTGGTAGTAGTTGAAAGTGAATACAAGATTGGTAGTACTTGAAAGTGTAAAATAAATGTATTGGTCGAAGTTGCGTTTCTCCTTGACCTACCCTGACCTAGATTACACTCGTGTGATTCTATGCAACAGTTCAGCTATATCCAGTGTCCCGCACGTACCGCAAGAGACGCAAGAGACGCCACACGTGACATGAAAAAAAGGCACATACGTATCACTTCAAGAGCCATATATTTTTTTAGTACTCTATTTATTTTTATTTTTTTATATTGTTTAAACCCATCAATTAAAAATTAATAAATTTCTTTATAAAACAATTCACAATATTTTCATATAATATTAGTTATATTTTTTAATTTGTGTAAAATTATCAAAGGGATCAATAATTGTGAAAAACAATTATTATGATTCCAGTTTTTCTTAAGTAAAAATCGAACATTATTTTAGAGATATAAATTTCATTCATGTTCTAATAATAGAAATCATGTTTTAATTTACAATTCAACTTTTCAAATAGAACATAGAACTTTTCAAATAGAACATATAAAATTAATGTAAATCAGATCTCCTTCATCAATGGATCGATTCCAATCCCTGCACATAACGATCTTAACCGTTCTGCATGGGAGCGTTGTAACTGTCTTGTGCATTCGTGGATCCTTAATTCAATTAACCCAACGATTGCTCAAACAATCGTGTTCTTGGAGAATGCTTTGGATGCATGGAATGATCTCAAAGAATGCTTCACAAAGGTTGATCGCATTCGAGTTTCCAATTACATCTCAAACAAGGTAACAAATCCGTTCTTGACTATTTTACTGAATTACGTGGATTATGGGAAGAATTGAATTCTCATAGACCAATTCCAAGTTGCATATGTGTTCATCAATGTCGTTGCGAGGCTATGCGCAGTGCACGAGATTTCCGTCTTGAAGATCAGATTATTCAATTTCTAACAGGCTTGAATGACAAGTTCTCTGTCATTAAAACACAAGTTCTGTTGATAGATCCTCTTCCATCTATCAACAAAGTGTATTCAATGGTGATACAAGAAGAGAGTCACAATGTCTCATTGCTTCCTAGTGCTGATCTTACTCCTAGTGTTGATGAAGCAAATACTTTGGTTAATGCTCTTGATCCAAGGAAATTCAATGATCGTGGCAAAAATTTCAATTCTTATGGCAACTCTTCAAACACAGATAGTAGAGTTTGCATGTTCTGCCACAAGACTGGTCACACCATTGATGTGTGCTATCGTAAACATGGATTTCCTTAACATTTTGCCAAAAGACAGAGTTCAGCCAATATCTCTAATTCTATTGTACATGAACCCGAATGTTCCAGCCACCGGTCCTCCACTGCTAAGTCTTCTAAAAGAAGAAAAGAACCAAGGATCAATTCATACGTACACATTTCCTTTGCAAAATCTATTTTTTACTTTTTCAAAATCTATTTTGACCCCTGGATTTCTTTAACATTAAGCATTACAAAGAAATGACTATAACAAGAGAAACTATTTCATACCCTACAATTTCACCATGTTTTTAAGGCTACTGGATCAACATGGTAATTGAATGATGGAATGCTTTATATCAGTAACGATTATTCTACTTTATACTAATACAAATTGTGTTGTACGTGTAGGCTAGGTTGTGATGCTCATATTGTTGTTCCCCCAGGTGCTGCATGTCTGCCTCTGCTGCCCCAACTGGCCTCGGATTCTATTAGGCACTTGGATTATGTTATTTAGAGCTTGTGTTAGTGTTACTTTAGTTGTGATTTATGTTTTATCACTCCTGCTTATGAACTTATGTTTATTGGAGATTTTAGAATATACCGTTTCGATGCTCAAACAATGATTAAAGAATTGTTTGCTTCTTCTGCTCTTATATTATAATTTCAATTGATAATTAACATTATAGCCCGTATTTTAAACGGGTTTTTTCGGATCGGGCAAAAAGCCCTAAAAAAATCCGGGCTTAAATATTTTAAATTGTTATAAAACCATTCATGTTTTCATATAAGAACTTAAACTCTTAAAAGACTTCAATATGGCATGAGAACAAACCCTAAAGAATGAATAGTCATGATGAGTTCAATGCATTGACCCCTTTCTTCAACAAGTGCTAATAATGAGGCTAAGAACAAGGGCACTTTTATATGCTAATGTCTCCTTTTGTCCTTAGTCTGATGTTGCCTAAGAGCTCAAGAAGGGTCAAAATCAAAATTGGAACTCACTTGCTCTATATGCTACACCATATTATCCTAGGAAAATCAATACTAGAGCTCGTAACAGAACAAACTACTGCAAGGTATCAAATAATAACTCATTAACAATCGAATTTGTATGGTTTGTATAGTGATGATTTGTGTGATTGTTTGTTTTTCCAAGTTTCTTGAATTTTAAGAAAATTAAGTTTTTGGTGATTTTGATGATATAACCATGTGTTGGTGTTATATTTTGATGATTAATAGCATGCATGTGAAATATATGTGTTATAATGATGTTTGAAGTCTTTTGAATGGTGAAAAACTGGTTTTGTCAGTTTTTACACTTATCTTCCACCAGTGGAAGTTGTATTAAAAAACTGGTTTTTTGGTTTTTGACACTTTTTATACTATACTTCCACCAGTGGAAGTTGTATTGAAAAACTGGTTTTTTGGTTTTTGACACTTTTTATACTATACTTCCACTAGTGGAAGTTGTATTGAAAAACTGGTTTTCTGGTTTTTGTCAGTTTTTACACTTAACTTCCACCAGTAGAGGTTACCTTAAAAATCTGCTAAAAACTGGTTTTGTCAGTTTTTACACCTAACTTCCACTAGTGGAGGTTACCTTAAAAATCTGCTAAAAATACTTTTTGTCAATTTTTTGCACTGATCTTCTTGGAAGTTACCTTTAAATTTGTCTGAAAGCCTTGTTTTTGTGAAAATTTTTCTAAACTTTGATTGATCGTATCTTTTGATCTGTGACTCCTTTTTGGATGCCGTTTTGGGCGTTGTAGAGCTAATTAAATGTTTTATATGATAAAGTGATGAAATGGGCAGTGGCCGTTATGGTATGTGGAGTTTTTATACCGGTAAAAGTTCTATATGTAATATACTTGTTTAATAGGAAAATATGTCTGAGTCTTGTGGATCCAATACTTTTCCAAATGCAGAAAAGAAAACAAAGAAAACTCAGAAACGTATAGTTTTGATTTTCTGTTTTTAAAAATGATTTTATAAATTAGTTTTAGAAAATTGTTTTTAAGAAAAATAATGAAATAAAATCTGTTTGGTAGCTCTGTTTTTAAAATAAAAAATTTAAAAACTTGTTTGGAGAAATTGTTTATGTATACTATCATTATTTTTGAGAAACTAAGTTAGGATATGACTTACACCTAGATTACAGTGTGGATATGTCAATTGTTCAGAATATCTTATAAGAGAAGCTTCACTCCCTCCATATATACCACCAAAATATCTTACACCTAGATTACACTATACCTCCACCAGTGGAAGTTGTATTGAAAAACTACTTTTCTTGTTTTTGACACTTTTTACACTATACTTCCATCAGTGGAAGTTGTATTGAAAAACTGGTTTTCTGGTTTTTGACACGTTTTACACTTAACTTCCACCAGTGGAGGTTACCTTAAAAATCTTCTAAAAACTGGTTTTGTTAGTTTTTACACTTAACTTCCACCAGTGGAGGTTACCTTAATCTGCTAAAAATATTTTTTGTCAGTTTTTGCACTGATCTTCCACTAGTGGAAGTTACCTTTAAATTTGTCTGAAAGCCTTGTTTTTGTGAAAAAATTTCTAAACTTTAAATATGTCCTACCTACTATCTTCTAAGTCATGTGAGAAGTTGTTTTACACTTCCATGTATATGTATAATGATATGTAACCAAAATAGTTAGCTGATGTTAACTAAAATAGGACACCAATATTATACATGTACCACTTAATGATATACTAAGGCATATTTTTCAATATATAAATAGTAAGCAGTGGATGTAGAGTTTTATATATTATAAATCTATAAATTTTATATAATATTATTGTAAATAATTAGTAGTTCAAATTTCTTAAAAAATAAAACAAATAAAAGGTGTATGAAACAAATAAAATAAAAAGAAAAAGGTCTGGGGAAAGGGGGATTCAAACCCCAGACCTTAGACATTCAAGATTCAAGGTTACACATTATACCAACGTTTTAACCACTGGGGCGCAATACCAATTCATTTATTTCACATTTTCAAATAAATATATCATTTAGTTTACGCATTAAACCAATGCTAAAACCAAAAACATTCAATAATTAAACCTAAGAATTATTTCTCTATTCCCTCTCCATTCTGGCTCGCACCTCTCTCGTCTTCTCCCTTCTCAAGCTTGACAAATTGCTCCAAAAAAAGAAATACAGAAGGCTCTGCGCAAACCTCCAGGTAAATCCCTATTCCTATTCTACTCTCCCTTTTCTTCTTATTTTGAGATCTCTGTGCTTCTTTTTGATGCTTTGGATTGCCCTGCAATTTGTGTATTTGTTTTGAATTTTTGGGTATTGATAATGTGTAAATTGCAAACTCATAATTCTCGGCCGAATCCTGAACTTAACCAAAAGGAATTCTAGGGAGAAAAAGTGAAAATCCAAAGAAGATTTTAAGTAGCATGGCCGCATTTTCTAGCGGTTTTTCTGTTTCGGAAATATAAAGAATTGTAATGTTGAAGCCCAGATTATGGCTGCAAATCTTTATATAATACCCTTATTGTAACTGGTGTACATTTTAAATTATGGCGCTTTATAGCTTGATATAGCTAGCTATAGGAACTTGTGATTGAAGATTGATTGTTGATTTAAGTTGACATCTAACTGCTTAACCTTGCTTGGATGCACAATAGTTTAATGGCATATTGGTGTCTAGGAACTCTAGTAGAAGGTTCATAGGGAAGTAAACTCTAATACGTGATAGTGTCGGTTTGTTTTCGGTGTCTATGCTTCATAGTTCTCTAACTTTGCGGCTGCTGCTATAGGCAATAATGTAGGGGAGTTTTAACAAACTGTAGAAAGATGTTCTTGCTGTTGCTACACTACAATTAACTGATGAGATGTTTTGTTTTAAAGATGAAACAAATGTATAAAATGGTATGGAACACATACATACATTTCTAAAAAATAGAACATAACAAGAGTCTTTTTCAATTCCTCTCTGAAATCTGAATTGTTGTGAAGATTTAGATTTGAAGTATCAAAAAAGCATGATTTGAAGTATTAAAGATGAAATTTTTAATGTTGATGATATTTTTTTTTTTTGTGTAACAGTATGCAAGAAGCAGGGTTTCCAGCAATTCATGGCGGAGTAATGGGTGGGCGTCTTGAGACGCTGTCCGCGCTATGTAAATCCATAGATGCTGATTTTAAAAACGAACTTCATGCTGAAGGAGGCCTCTTTCAATTTCTTTTTGTACCGGAAGCTAATATTTTAAAGCCGATTGCCGAAAAATTATTGAAATGCTTTGAGGCAAATTCTTCGACATTTTTTATCAATGGCCTAAAGTTAGGAATAACCTTGCAAGATGTTTTGTTCATCTTCCATTTGCCTATTGACGGGAAACTTATTTTACTTGAACGCTGTCCAAGTGATGAAGCATTCAAACGTGTATACCCGGAGGGTCCCTATGATAAAAAGAGGAAGGAGGGTTTTTACAAAAGTGTCGCATGCGACTCTAACTTCTCTTCTAAGCAGCGGAAGGTTGTTATTTTAATGCTTATTCTTCGAGCTTTTGTTATGCCATCGTTCGATGGCAATTCAATCCCTCTGTCATTTGTTGCACTTTTGGAGGATGTAGATTCAGTTTCCAATTATGCATGGGGAGCTGCAATGCTTTCTTACCTCTTATCAGGAATAGAAAATTTTAGAAGTAAGAAGAAAAAGCATTTGGACGGAAATTTCTGGATCTTTTTGGTAAGTATAATTTGAACTATTTATTTGACGTATTTTTTTAAAATGCTTTTTTAAATGCACATGCCTTAAAGCATCCGACACACTCTCAAGCGAAACAATCGCATCAACATTCTTAGCAAGAATCCGAATGCAAAGCTCTTGCAACGACGTAACAGAAGCCTTTCCATCTAACTTCACCATATTACTCTTGGGAATCCACTTTATCGAATCAATCAAATCCTTCTGCTTAGAAGCAGACCCCGCTTGAAACTGAATCCCTTTCTTCTCTCTATCCTTAATGATTTTCATCGCAGTTGAAAAAGGACCAGGCCAATCTTCAATCTCAATCCCAGTCTTCTCCTGCTCATTCTCATTCTCCAGAGATAAATCATCAACATTATCTTCATCATTCGCAAAAAGAGAGAAAGGAGACGCGTTCTCTCGCGCTATGTTACAGAATTGTTCCAAGTTCCTCCTCAAACCGCGTAGCCTGCTGTTATTGGCAGAGTTTCTAGATTGTTCTATAACATTCAATACAACCGTAGTAATGTTCTTTATATCGGAATCGTCATCACTGCTTTCATCATCACTTTCATTGTTAACATTTTCATCAATAACAACAGTTTCCTTCCCTTTCTTTGTTTCACTCGAATCACCTTAATCGTTTAGTTTATTCTTTTTCGAAGCATTGTTTTCAGAATCGTCTTCGTTTGCGATGGTGATTCCGCGTTTGAGAGATTTTTTGCCTGATCGCAAGTTAACGGGACTGTTTTCAGTTTGATTAGGTTTGGATTTGGAATTGGATTCGGAAGCGGATAGGTTTGATTTTTGGAGTTTTGATTTGGAAACCCTAGTGGAGGGTTTAAGGGTTTGGGGAGGTTCGGAGATGGAAATGGCAGCGAGGCGGAGGCTGCGTCGTCGCGGAGGGGCAGAGGAGGATGAGATGGGAGGGGATTCAGTGGTTTGAGAGGGGGTGAGAGGGTGAATGGAGGTTGTTTTGGTCGGTGGAGACATTTTTTCCGATGAAGGGTAGGGTTTGGAATGAGTGTGGAATGAAGTGATTTGGAGGGGAAAAAAGGAGAATGAGTATTTATTGGGGGAGAGGGAAGGGTAGTATGGGAAATTGTGTGAAGTTTGCACTACATTGAAGTGAAGTCTAAGTCATTCAGATGAAAATATATGCCTACAGGGAAAATTGGACCAAACTGAAATCTGGGTGACTTAGGAAAATTATACATATATAGGGGGAGACAGACAGGCGCAGGCAAGCAGGCAGGCCTGGTCAGGTAGGCGCCCGTAGGCAGGCGCAGGCAGGCGCGCGTAGGCAGCAGGCGTATGCAGGCAGGTATAGGCAGGCACGCGGGGGCATGCATGCCTATGCAGGCAGGCACGCTTGGGCAGGCATGCATGCCTGTGTAGGCAGGCAAGAATGCTTGGGCAGGCATGCCTGTGCAGGCAAGCCTGGGCATACATGAAGGCTTGGGCATGCAGGAAGGCTTGGGCAGGCACGAAAGCAGGCTTGGGCAGGCATCTCAAAGTTTTTCACGAAATTTTATTCGTTATAAATTTTCATGCCTAGTGCGGCAGAATCGACGTTGGTTGATGCTTCCATTTGCCTACATGCCTTGGCATTATGGGGAGTGGTACGTTACACAATGTTGGATCTAGCTGACGTGATTGGTGTGTGAGTGACATTGTGGATTTTTGTGTTTGTTGGTTCCATGCTCTTGCACGGAATGTTGAACACAACATTCTTTATCAATTTTCATCGATTACTTGTGTAATCGGTGTTGGTTTCTTGTTCCTGTTTGTCTTGCCTATAAAATGGTAAATAATTGGCTGGTTAGTTTTAAAAACCATCCCATACCATAGGTTGGTGTTGTGATGGCTCTTGAAGTGATATGTACGTGCCTTTTTTGATGTCACGTGTGATGTCTCTTGCGGTACATGCGGAACACTGATTTCTTGGAGGCGGTACTTGAGATGCCACTTGGGTTATCCCATGTGTCCCTTACTAATGGTTGCTCTAAATTATGCCCCGCACTTTTGTAGGTTTTTCACCCCTTGGGAGGCACAATTCTTGCATTACGTGTGGAGCCATTAATGGATGCTACCTGGTTGATCATGGCAGTAGTCATATGCTTGTCTCAAAGATTAAGCCATGCATGTGTAAGTATGAACTAATTCAGACTATGGAACTGCGAATGGCTCATTAAATCAGTTATGGTTTGTTTAATGGTATCTACTACTCGGATAACCGTAGTAATTCTAGAGCTAATACGTGCAACAAACCAAATGAAAAAAAGCAGAAAACAAAATGTGATGAAATAAATAAACTCTTTTAAAAGTGAAATCTAGAACCAGAAATACACAATAGCAGATCTAAAAATGACTGTGGAGTAAAATACAAATATTAGGGTTTCAGTTTCATTTTGAAACAACAATGGTGTTCATGAAGTATGTATATCCAATGTTAAACTAAAAGAAACACCTTTCAAATTAAACGAACTCGTGTAAAGGCTCTCAAACAAAGGAGCTATTATCTTACAAAATAGACTTAACACAAGAATTCATCGAAGTTTGGCTTCTGCGGTCGTTACGCTTGGCTTGATTGTTGGGCTGGGACCGAAGCCAATCAAGGACAGGCTGAGGATTCAAACAGCTTTAAGAGAGAGGAGTAAGGGGAACTTCTTACTTGCACCCACTCTCGACGCCTACTTCATTAAACGAAGGACAAAAAACTATAAATAAAAAGTGGTAATGTAGCATGCATAGGAAAAAAATGAAAGTTGAAGAGTGATTGGTTTCATCAGTTAATGGTGAGGTTTATTAGGAAGAAAGTTTATCACGGTAGAAATAGTTACCTTGTGGGTTTTGAATCATTTGAAGTTTGAAGTTGATAGAGGATCCTCAAAGCATTTTTTTAACTGAGAGAATAAGGAGCTATAGGTACTTGTGAAATGAGTATGCAAACTTCGTTAGGTAGGTTCGCAGGACTTGCTGCAACTAGATTACAGTGTGGATATGACAACTGTTCCGAATGTCGTATAAGAGAAGTCTCCCTCCCTCCTCCATACTAGTAATACCACCAAAAATGTTGTTAGATTTGAATGAAGAAGAAAATGTGAGCTAACTGTCCCATGACACACGTCAAAGCTTATTACCGTAGGATGTCGGTTTATTCATAGGACGAAGGTTTCCTAATGCACTTCTTCCAGGACAGCTTAGCTGGAGCTTCCTTGGAATGGTACATGTAACTGGAGCGTGCACACGTTCACACATGGAGGGATCTTGTTGAGGCATTCATTGAGCAGTATCAATATAACGTTGATATGACGCCTAATCGAACTCAGTTGCAAAGTTTGGTGCAAGGGTCCAAGGTTACGAAACTTTGCAGCTCCCCTCTATTTATTGGTAGATAACCCCATGAAAAAATTTAGATCAAAATTCGTTGCATAGGCCGCGGTTTGTGTTGCTTCCGTTCTATCCACCTTTTGAGCGACCGGCCCCCAAAAAATCAAAAATGTACCGAGGGTTCGTCCAAATGCTACGACACTTTCCAGCCCCCCTCTATTTGTTGGAAGAGAACTCCATGCAAAAATTCAGCACAAAGCGACACGCGTAGGCCATGCTTCCGTTCTATCTGCCTTTTGAGCGGCCGACCCCCGAAAAATCAAAAACGTATAGAGGAATTGTTCGAACGCTACGAAAATTTGCAACCCCCTTCTATTTGTTGGAAGAGAACTCCATGCAAAAAAATCAGCTTAAAACGACACGCACATCCCATGGTTTGCGTTGCTCCCGCATATTGGGCGCCCGGGGCTCGAAAAGCCGAAATATATCGAGGGATCGCCCGAGTGCTACGAAACTTTCCAGCCCCCCTCTATTTGTTGGTAGAGAACTCCATGCAAAGATTCAGCTCAAAGCGACACACGTAGGCCATGCTTCCGTTCTATCCGCCTTTTGAGCGGCCGACCCCCGAAAAATCAAAAACGTATCGAGAAATTGTCCGAACGCTACGAAACTTTGCATCCCCCCTCTATTTGTTGGAAGAGAACTCCATGTAAAAAATCAGCTCAAAACGACACGCACAACCCATGGTTTGCATTGCTCACGCATATTGCGCGCCCGGGGATCGAAAAGCCGAAATATATCGAGGGATCGTCTGAATGCTACGAAACTTTCCACCCCCCCTCTATTTGTTGGGACAACAAGAAGAGCTGCGAGTGGCTACTGACCAGATTAGACAGCAGAAGACTAATTTCCTTGACAGGACCCAGCAAGATATTGGAGATTTGATCGAGCAGATGGATGAAGTTCGCCTAGAGTTGACAGATATGAGACAGATTGTGTAACATGTCCCTCACCCATCTTTTTGGAGAGGAGGCATGGGACGACACTGCGACCGAGGTCGTAATTGTAACACCCCAATATTACCCAAGGTTTTATATGCAACAATCAGAGTAAATTAAAATTTCATAAATTTAATACTGAGGCATCACACCTTCAAAAACAACTCACTTTAAACAGTTTGATTTAAAGTATAAGTCTCGGATACATAGCATCGCCGGAAGACATAAATTGATTCAAAAACATCAAAACATCTTCTTTAATAAACTTCCTTAATAAATCATATTTTCATAAAGTATGATTCTATATACAAAAGGAAGAACAACAAAAGAATCAACAACAAGACAACATAAATGTTTCCCCCCGAGTGCTATGTATCAGAGCGACACCGACTCAACTAACAGTAGCTATAAACTCCGTCTTCATAACCTGCACGTTACCAATATAAAGGTAACGGCGAAACAAGTAAAGGGTGAGATAATCCAAAACATATAGTTAAAGGCATGATAAAATATATATATAGTTTTGGAATTGTAAAGGATATAAGTTAATAAGTGCATTCCAACACATATCCAAACCTCACTTACTCTTATCGTCATTCTAAAGTGTATAATCTATACTTAATCGCCTTAGCCTCATCGACATAAATCATCACAACAACACGTAAACCTCCGTCACCACGAAATCGTCACAAGCTAATACATCGCTAATTAACACGGCAATCATAAACAACAACATCAACCAACAACATTAAACAATGCTAACAACATGAGCAACATAAACAAATCATCACAAATTGGCTAAAGCCCATCGTCGCTTTTGGCATAAAAGCCCATCGTCGCTTTTGGCATAAAAAGCCCATCGTCGCCAATATCATCACATCATAATTGCATTAAGCATTTCATCTAAATTTTTATTACCAATATCCCTTCATTCCACTGGGAGAACTTCTGAAGAAAAATCCATAATTTATTGCTCAAGTTCAAAGGATTTGTCATGACGCATTGCAAAATGTTAAAAAACTCTAATAGTGCAATATGATTTCCTCTTTGAAAATGAAGAAATTTGTATAATTAATTATATAAAATATATGCGTCATGCTGACAAAGTTATTAAAAAAAATGAACTAATGAAGTATGTAAAAATGTAAGAGGCCGGTTGAAATACGCCTCATTGATCCTCTAATTACTATGGACCTAACGTTGAGACAATGATGTAAAACAAATATCTGAAAAATAAATAATATGTGATGATCATAGTGATTTAGGGTTTTGGACCAAGAAGGATTTTCTTTTATATGTGATTTTTAATCATTTTACAAACAAAAATAATATTTAAATATATTTGATTTATTAAATTTTGTAATTTAAAAATATATCGACATAGAGAAAACCTGAAGAAGATTGATGAAACAATATCAATACTAGATTTATATCGAGAAAACATGCATATGCTGGTTATTTTGTGTACATCATTTTTTTAAAAAGTAAATATGTAATGATGCAACATGACAGGATCAAAGCTCCACAACACTGGATATAGTTGAACTATTGCATATGAAGAAATGACTTTTTACTTTGGGTAAAAAGTAATTTCAACTTCGTCCCAACCTTGGGACTAAGTGAAAAAACCTTTGACACGCTTTCCCAACGTTGGGACGGTGTTATAAATTGCAACATTTGCTGTTAATTTATATTAATAGTTTATAAAAACAATTTAATAAAACTTAAAAAAATAATAATAAACAATTTTAAAAAATATTATATAATAAATTAATAAATAAATAAAGTCCATGTGGTTAAAAAAATAATTAAAATAAAAAAATTACCACGTGGGCTGTCACGTATGCACTTAAAGAGAATCTTGGTTGAAATGTGGCAGTCAGGTGTGTATCTGAGGGAATATGAAGAACTGCAAGGGGGGTTTTAAATTTTTTTTTTCAGGAGCTAAAAGCAAAACCCGCTAACGTTACAGGAGGACAAATGAATATTAACCCTAAATTATATAAATAGTTCATTAAGAAGAAATTTGATTTTTATCAATAAAATGGAGTTGTCCTTCTCAGGTTGTTCATTTATCTGAAAAATAAATAATATGTGATGAGCATAGTGATTTAGGGTTTTGGACCAAGAAGGATTTTCTTTTATATGTGATTTTTAATCATTTTACAAACAAAAATAATTTAGGGATACCACAACGGTTTTACAAACAAAAAGATTTCCAGATCTTCTGGAGTTTCTGAACTTTCTCTGTTTGTTCCTTCATAGTTGATTGACTCAGCAGAATTCTGTTGACGATGTTCATGCATTGTTTCAAATTCCTAAACACTAGAGATATAAGGGAGTGAAACCCTCGTCAACCCCTCTGACCTTTTACTTATTTGAAGGCCCGTTGGATGAGGAGGTGTCGTTTAATTCTTGATAATGTCTTGTGTGAATTGTCATAAGCTTGTTGAATCAGCCCTAACTATTCATATATTTTTAAAATTTTAATCTATCTATTTTAATTAAAGTAGTAACTTATTAATTATTAATTAGTTGATAAATTAAGTTATTGTTAATATTAATTATAAAAATATATTAATTATAAAAATGATTGTTAAGTGATACATTTACTAATTTACTAATTATTTATACATCTAATTAATAATTACTTTAATTTAATAGATAAAATCTTATTGTTAATTTTATTTAATTTTATTAATTCAAACAATAAATATTAAAATTTAGAAATAATTTTAATTACAAATATATTTAATTTTAGATATAATGTTAATTATTTTAAATAAGTTTATTATTAACTATTTAACTTAAATAATAAAACTAATTAATTTATAGATATCTAAAATTAAATATATGTGTTACTATCAATTTTAATTTCATTCCTCTTTCTTTCCTTTCAATTTCGTTCAAAACACACTGTAACCGCAGAAGAAGAAGTCCAACCGCCGCTCCGCCGCACCACATCCATTCTCCCCGTCGCGCCACCGTGTTTCTGCTGTTCTCCAAAGTCCAAACGCAGCTCTGCCGCACCATATCGTTTCTCCCCGCGCCACCGTGTTTCTGTTGAATTCCCAATAGTTAAGGTCAGTCACGTTCCTCTTTCTCACATGCTTGTTGAAATAACACAAGTTAGGGTTTATTTTTTTGCCTAATTAATATGAGTAGAATCATTCTTTGCAAGCAATTCCTTCTCTGCATTTTATCTAGCAATTCCTTCTCTGCATAATACTCCTATTGAACCTAATCACGCCAATTGTAAAAATATGAGTATAATGTTGTCATGTCCGGATTGCGTTGGGTCTAGATTTGTTGGGTCTAGATTTATGCACAGTATTGAAACTGTCTGTGATCTCCCGGTTATCAAGGACACTAACGCAGCCCTGGATACAAAGATAAGTGGCATATCATTATCATCAAATGATTAATGTTTTATAATATCATTATCATCAACTAATTAGTGTCTCGTGTTTCTAAACATAAATAGTGATAACAGCACCGTTTTGTGGCGTGATTTCTTTTTAAGATCAAATGAGTTTGTACAGGTAACCAAATGGATCCCGAAACGGTTTCCGTCGATATCACTAGTTTTGGGATGAAGTTAAACAAGTTTACTCATTGGACTGTACATCCTAGAGTAAAAGAGGAAGTGGAAAAAACTTGTTTCAAATATTTTATGAGATTCCCCGCGGGTAAAGTTAACATGCCTAACAAAATGATCGCCGCTTTACTTCGCTTTTATGAAAACGTCAAAGAACACCTTGTGTTTGGGATACTAAAATTGATCTTGGTCTTGAAAATGTAATGTATATCACAGGACTTCCCATTGATGGGAAACAGGTATATTTTTTATTTTATTTTATTTCATTTATTTCATTTATTTCATTTAATGGGAATTACTCTTAAGTTATTTATATACTTAATTTATTTATATACTTGTGACCATTGGTGTGCAGATTTCAGGAATTGAACCAAAGGATCCTATTGACACAATAGTAAATCATTTGTCTGTAAGTCTAGTTGAAGTTAATGATTTGTTATTGTCTGATAATAAAGGAAAAAAGTCTCATGATATATGTTTAAAGAGTTTGAAAGATATATTTACAAGTATCGCTGTTACTGAGGAGAATGTAAATTTACATGTCAAGGCATATCTTTTATTTTTATTAGGAAATCTTCTTTTTACCACTTCTTCTTTCGACAATGTTTCTGCTATTTATTTACCCTTTCTTGAAGTACATGATATTGACAGTTATGCTTGGGGGGAAGCCGTGCTTGCTACCCTCAAGGTTTCAATGAATAAAGCACGGCAGGGAAATAAAACATTGAACGATTTTACATATCTTCTGATGGTAAGACATTTATCAATATGCATTCATCTATATTTCCTTTAATACAAAAATGCTTATTTTTTTGTTTTATTTTTCTTGTAGGTATTTGCATTTGAACGATTCAAATGCCTTCGCGAGATATTTAAAATAACTATACCGAGTCAATTTCCTTTAATGTTGGGGTGGGTGGATCTAACAATTCAGACTTTTAAGGATAGATCTTTAATGCCTTCCATGACCACTTGCTATGAAAAGTTTCGGGAAATGACGGATGAAGATGTAAGTTTCCTACATCTCAAAAGTGAATTGTACTTATTTAGAGTATATAGTTCAAGGATTATCTATCTTGTTGTATAACTTAGCTTAGTCAAGCCTAGATGTTAGTAAGTTAAAAACTCAGTTAGTTAGTTAGTGTGTTAGTCTTCTTCTTGCATCTGATATATATCCTGTTAATCTCATTGCTACTGTGATCTCATTTGTGTATCTTTTTTAGTGTAGTTTATTAATACTTTATTTTATGTTTTAAAGGTGGATTTGTTGCCTTATAAGAGGGATGGTCTAGAAGTTGAATTGGACGATCAATTCAAACGTCAAAGTTGGATGGTATATGCGAAAGTATATACCATCTGCTTTAATAATATTGCAAAACATCCAGTACATATTTGTTGGAAACAATTGGGGTTGGAGCCGGGACATGTGAGAAAACGCTTTGGTAATTTTAAAAGAATCAACTTGCAGGAAAGAGGCCCGGGAAAAGATAAAGATTGGAGGAAGTTCAACCCTTTTTATACTGGGCGAAAAGGAATACGTTCCTTATCAAAAAGGATGTTATCGCGCATGAGCCACTAGTGAATTATGTGCAGGTCTGAGTTTTTCTTTGTACACGTTCGTAACCGGCATGAAACACAAATGAAATTTGATTCTGATTTTTTTTTGCTTTCAATACCGTTGTATGCACGAGGGAGATATTGATGAAAGGGAAACCGAAGAACCTACACAAGAGAACACCTCCTCAATCTCCACTTCCCCTCCTAGGTGTAATTTCGAATCAGCTACACCTCAAGATCCATCCACCTCCAGCCTCTGAGTACCTACACCTCAAGATGCATCCACCTCCAGCTTCCAAGCACCTACACCTCGAGATGAAGTAAGTAAGGTTGCAAAGCACTTTTGGTTCTTATTACTTTTCTTTGAATTTTTTTTATAATTGACATGATATGTTATTGGGCTTTTCAGGTTCAAACCCTCTTCTCCAACCCGCCTGAAGCCTTATCCATCGAGACGTCTTTGGAAGTCTCATCCTTCCAGATGTCTCCACAGCCTACGGTATTTCATTCCCTCTTTTTTTTTTTAATTTAGGTTTAATAGCACTTTTATCTTTGACGAACCAAAGTTTGGATAATAATCCTAATCACGATCGTGATGACAATGTTCGTAATGTTCAGGATGACGATTTTGTTAACGATCGTGTTAAGGATGGAGATGATGAGGGTGGAAATCATAATGATGAAGATGATGAGGGTGGAAATCATAATGATGATGAAGATGATGAGGGTGGCAATAATAATAATAATGCAGATGTTGGGGATGATGAGGTTGGCAATAATAATATTGCAGATGTTGGGGATGATGAGGTTGGCAATAATAATAATGCAGATGTTGGGGATGACAATCATAATTATGATGAGGGTGAGGTGAGTGATCCTTATTTATTTAAGTAAATTCGATTTATTTAATAGTGCTTTTTAGGTGAGTGATATTTTATTTGAATTTCTATTTTATAATTGACAGCATAATAATAATGTGAAGAATTATATACGTGGTGAACGTGAACGTGAAGGAGTACTAAGACCAAAACCCCGTACGCGTACAATGTATTCGCCGGAAGAAGTATTGCGTGTTAGAAAGAAAAGAAAGCTTAGAAAGCCAAAGAACTAGTGACAACTTGGTTAAAAGTTTATTTTCTCATGTTTTGAATATTTTACTAATTCTGTTTGTGCTTAGACTTATGTTTGTGCTTAGACCAATGTTTGTGTTGTTGTTTTTATACACTTCTAATGCATGATCTCCGTTGTCCTAAGTTTGTTTCGATGATTAGCATTTTCTGGTGTAGGAACTTGATACATGTTGCTGTCTTATTCAGCTAGGTTCGAATAATTATTTTTAGCATTTTCTAGTGCAGGATGTTGTTGTCTTATTCAGCTTGGTTCGAATAATTTTTTAACTCATCGTCCCAACATTGGGACAAAATGGTTGATGCTAGTCACTGAAAGAAAAATAGTTTGAACCCCTGGCCTAGGGTCCTGGATCCGCCCCTGGCAGTGATTGAGTAGCCACTGATATAAAACTAGGTTTTGCGAGCATTGAATTGGTTTGCGAGCATTGAACAGAAAAGGGTTTGAGGGCAATTGAATCGATTGGGATTTGGATTGGTGTTGGGGGAGAGGGTGGTCTGGTTCGGCAATGGAGGTGGAGAAACCGGAGAGAGACGGAGGAGCGATTAAACATTGAGGGCTTGTTTGATTGAGTTTTGATTTTCTATTTTTAAAAATGATTTTATAAATTAGTTTTAGAAAATTGTTTTTAAGAAAAATAATGAAATAAAATCTGTTTGGTAGCTCTGTTTTTAAAATAAAAAATTTAAAAACTTGTTTGGAGAAATTGTTTATGTATACTATCATTATTTTTGAGAAACTAAGTTAGGATATGACTTACACCTAGATTACTGTGTGGATATGCCAATTGTTCAGAATGTCTTATAAGAGAAGCTTCACTCCCTCCATATATACCACCAAAATGTCTTACACCTAGATTACACTATACTTCCACCAGTGGAAGTTGTATTGAAAAACTGGTTTTCTGGTTTTTGACACTTCTTACACTATACTTCCACTAGTGAAAGTTGTATTGAAAAACTGGTTTTCTGGTTTTTGACACTTTTTACACTATACTTCCACCAGTGGAAGTTGTATTGAAATACTGGTTTTCTGGTTTTTGACACTTTTTACACTATACTTCCACCAGTGGAAGTTGTATTGGAGAACTGGTTTTCTGGTTTTTGACACTTTTTATACTATACTTCCACCAGTGGAAGTTGTATTGAAAAACTGGTTTTTTGGTTTTTTGACACGTTTTATACTTAACTTCCACCAGTGGAGGTTACCTTAAAAATCTGCTAAAAACTGGTTTTGTCAATTTTTAAACTTAACTTGTCAATTTTTAAACTTAACTTCCACCAGTGGAGGTTACCTTAAAAATATGCTAAAAACTGGTTTTGTCAATTTTTAAACTTAACTTGTCAATTTTTAAACTTAACTTCCACCAGTGGAGGTTACCTTAAAAATATGCTAAAAATAATTTTTGTCAGTTTTTATACTGATCTTCTTGGAAGTTACCTTTAAATTTGTCTCATCGTATCTTTTGATCCGTGACTCCTTTTTGGATGTTGTTTTGGGCGTTATAAAGCTAATTAAATGTTATATATATATATATATATATATATATATATATATATATATATATATATATATATATATATATATATATATATATACACGATGCCAGAAATCGAGCATCAGCTTCTAGAGTCAGAAGCTGTAGCAGAAGATGAGCAACATACATAATATTAGTTATTAATGTGAAATTAATTTTAAAAAAATAGAATTAGGGTTGATATAGAGATGACATGTGTCTAGGGTATATATACCCATGTGATTGCTACAATCGACCAATCGTGACATTTTCAAGCATTTATGCATAATGTATCAAAGCATGAGATTTTCAACCTAAAACATAGAATTTATCTAGTTAATCATATATAGACAAACCTTGTTTAAACAACATACTTTGCATGCAGGTGCAGGTAACGCCATTTTTTCTTTGAAACCCATTTCGCTCCGTTTGTTTTGGTATCTGAATTTTCTATTGAAAACTTGGTTTTGAAAATTTGGTTTTGATATCCGAAGTTTCTATTGAAAATTTGATTTTGGTATGTGAAGTTTTTATACCGGTAAAAGTTCTATATGTAATATACTTGTTTAATAGGAAAATATGTCTGAGTCTTGTGGATCCAATACTTTTCCAAAAATGCAGAAAAGAAAACAAAGAAAACTCATAAACATAGTCGAGAAGAAGTCAAAATAAAATTTAATTTTCAAATGTAACTCATGTTAAGTTGTCTCACTTGCCATGCATTTGTAGACAATTATGTTGTATCCAAAAGAAACACAGTAGTAGGCATCTTACAACTAAGCAATGTACCTCGGATATAAATTTAAATCATTGAGCAAAGCAGCGAGCAAATGATGAGGCAGCAAGGCAGCATTGGGATCATAGAACAATTTCAATAGAGAAACAAAGTAAGTGAGCTAACCAGCTTTCTCTACTTTTGTCCTTAGCTTCTTTCTCATATTTTTAGATGGTTTGATCATCAACCTGACCACTGGGGAAAAGTATCTGGCCTCCAGTTGCACACCCCTTATACACGAGCACCATACAACATACTTGGCTATAAAATAAATAAAACGTCCCCAACAGACGAGCATAAAATAAAACATGCAAACAATAAGCAAAAATCATGCACCATAATAAAAGTAAAACGGCCACCAAGGCCGACAACATTACATAATAAGGATTACGGCCACAAGGACCGATTTGTCTCTAGGCATCTTCCTCATTTTCCAAATAAATTCTTTAGAGAATACATTTTTTTTAAAATTCCTTATTATTCAAACACATACATGAATAAAATAACTCTTCGTCGTTGGCTCGATAAAAATTTTCTACTATATCAATGATGGGAATTATTTCTGTCATATTTAACCTACTTATCCTGTTGCTCATTAAATTGAACGACAACTCATCTGCCTCCTTCATGACACTTGTCAAAGAGGTTCTAGGTTTGGAATTCTTGATAAATTCAGATGGGCCACTTATTGACATTCTTTTCCCGCTGCTACTCATTATCTCCGTCGATCTACTACTACGCCTCGCTTCCTTCTTTAATTTTGATTCGTGATAACGTTTCCATGTTTTTGAAAAAATTAATTTCAAAGAGTCAAAATATGTAATCTCTTCCGCGTACGTGTCCACAAAGGATTGAACGGCCAAATCCTGAAAATTTATGACATTTGAGAATAAGAATAGCTATTAGCGATGAAAAGCCAAGAATTAAAATTTACTTAGCAACTTACCGCATCTGGAATAGGCTTTTCCGAGTTAATAAAAACTTTACCAGTATCATAGTCAAACAAAAAACCCTTCTTCCCTACACTAAGGATTTGGCAATAAATTGAAAAACTGGTAGCGAAATTGTTCAATTTTTGTATGTCCTACAAAGAAATACAAAAAATTTAAAAACAAATAAACCACAGAACTAAAACCAAACACTACTGATACAACCACATAACAGAACTGAATTGCTGCCTGGGACAAAACTCAAAACCTATCACCTGACTAAGATACAGCTATATAACGACGAAGCTGTCACCACAAGGCAAACCGAAAGACTCAATACCAACTCAAACCAAAATATGATTGGATCAAATTATGCAAATAAATATAGTATATACTTGTACCACCTTGCATCTGACCTCTTCTGAATACTTTTTTTTAGCCACTTCACCATACGCTGACTATCCGATTTTGTAAAAAAACAATTGAGGTCTTTCGCACCATATTTTTCAGTGAACCAAACACCCGCTTCAATAATACGATTCAAACTGATTGTATTAGGGGTAGAAGGAACATGATTTACGAGTTCTTGGCTCGTGATCTGCAAAATGAACACCACTATTATCTCTACCAGGGGCGAATCCAGACATAATATTTTGGTGTGGCTACATTATGAAAGAAACTATGAACAAAAATACTAAAAATAAGTATTTTTCTGTGGTATTGGTCTGTGTTATTGGTAGTTAGCTGGTGCAAATTAAGGGGGAGATTTTTTACGAAAATAAGGCATTATGTTGAGGTTTTTGTGGAGATATTATTGGCCTTTTATTCAGGATTTAACCGCATATTCAGGATTATAACCGCACACAAGGAGTACCACAGTACAAGACTAGAAAGATACACAAATGAGCTCACAATAGCAGCTTAAGCTTTACAATAAAAGAGAATACAAACACCCACGGCGAATAACAAAATAAAGTAAACAAGACACCAACAATTAAAGCATTGTTAATCCAAATTAGAAATATAACTACACTATAAAGTATACTATAAAGACACCAACTATCATGTGTGTCCTTGGAAATAAAATTTAAGAAACTGGCACTTGTCTTCTTAATAGTACAGATTGGGAAGCAAAACTGAGTTGGATTTTTGGTGATCAAAACTCAGTTGCTGACAGACTTGCTCATAAAGCTCATGAACTTCTTTTGATCTGTGTGAGATTGATTCTACTCCTCATAACTGTGTCAATCTGCTCTAAGCTAGTTTCAGTGTTAGTTATTCTGATGATGTTTTTAATGTGTTTGGTTATGGCTAAGTTTATTAGTATTGCATTCAATTTCAATAAGGTTGAGTTAGTTTCTTCCGATTTTATTGCAACTACACCCTCTGATATTGTCTCATCCAGTACACTTCAAATTCTGTCATTTAAAAACAAAATGCTCTGATATGCATTACTCCCAATTTCACTCAAAAAATAAAATAAGACATACCTCTGCATCGTTAATCTGTGTTTTCAAAAATCGAGAACGGTCCGGCCATTTTCTTTAGGACCTAACATAATCATATAAAAAAATTACAAGGTTAAGGCAAATAATAACATGAATATTTGTTCAAAAATCAAAAGAGATTGAAACCAACCTTTTTATGCCGTTTCACGGGAATATTACAAGATTCCAATACTTCAGTGTCAGAATTATTAGAACTACTGACAAGAAAAATTTAAAGACAAGTAAAAGCATTCTTCAAAATAAAATCTTGAAAAA